CAGAATGTCCCCGAGGTGGGGGCTTTGGGGCTTCGATGGAAGGGACACGGCTCGGGGCTAACGTGGGTGCTGGGGATGGAACCCAGGACCGTGCACATGCCAGAAAGTGCCCTACCCCCGAGCTGCAGCCTGGCCCACTGGAGGCTACACTTTTCCAGACTCAGTAGAGCAGGGAGGCTAAGGGTCACTGAGAGAAAGAAAATAGACGTGAGTCAGCCCAGAACCCTTTCAGTGATGTGTTATAAATAGTGCCTCTTAAATGCTTTGAGGTGACCAGTGAAACTGCCTGGAAGCTGTGTTCCTTTAAAAGCCTCTCACCCTGGCTGTGTGAACGTGTGTGTCTTAGGGTTTTGTATTGCTATAACAGTGTCTAAGACTTGGTAATTCAAAAGGACAGGATTGTTTTCTTGTGGCTTTTCGGGACAGGATCTCACTGTGTAGTTTAGACAGGCCTTGAACTCACTGTATAGCCCAGGCTGGCCTCGCACTCATGGCAGTCCTCCTGCATCAGTCTCCTGAATGCTGGGATGACAGGCATGCACCGCTACACCCATCTCTAGAACAGAAATTAATTGGCTCAGTGTTGTAGAGGCTGGAAGTCCCGTGAGGGCCCCCTTGGTGGGTTATAATGGAAGGTCAGAGGGCAAGAGGACACATGCAGAAGAGCAAGAGAAAGGGGGATGAGCCATCCTTTCATCAAGAGCCCACTCCTGTGACACCCTGCCCACTCTGGTGACAGTTCCCGCAGGCTTGGACCACCATGCATGACTGTCCCCCTGGGCAGCTTGTACCAACAGATCTAATCACTCATACCGGTTTTTTACCAACAGAATTAATAAAAGGAACCCAATGGGACAGTCCTGCATGTACAAGCCCCTGCCTGGGGGACATAAATGACCACCCCATCGAGAACATGAACGTACTAATCCATTCATGAGGCAGAGCCCTGGTGCCTAACTGTCCTCTTCAAGTTCCCACCTCTCAGCACTGTCGCCTTGGAGATGAAGTTTCCAACCGGGGACTCTGGGGACATGTTCAACCTGGAGCAGGGTGCTACGGTGTTCTGCATGGGACACACAGGGTTCTGCTGGGCCGGAGGAGCAGGGCTGATCAGGAGCACGCCGGCTGCCATCTCATCAGGACTGTCCGCGGCAGGCAGCAGCCAGCGAGCGCGCCTTCCTGCCTTTGCCCCTCGTCACCGACCCAAGTGTGTTTGGCCCCTCGGGATTCCTAGCCCTGTGCCCACCCTGTATATCCCAACGCATTTGTAGTATCTAGCTGACTTAGCATGTACATGCAGTGTATTTTGATCTTGCTCTCAGCTCTTGCTCAGCCTGTACTCTATATTCATTGGCGTGATGGGTTATGATCCCAAAATATGTGATCGCTGAGAGAGGCCAGGCTCTGTTTAAATTTGGTTTCCCTCTGTGACCGTACAAGGTGTTAGCATCAAAATGGTGTCGCTTGCAGTGCTCTTTATTTCTAAACAGCCTGCATGGATGATGGATGTCTCTCTTCTCATTTATTTATTTATTTATTTATTTTTGGTATTGGGCATCGAATTCTTTTTTTCTTTTCAAAGGTTCCTCTTGGGGCTAGGCTTGCAGCTCAGTGTGTTCTTAGCATGTGCCAGGCCCTGGTTTCCATCCCTAGCACCACTAAAACCAGAAGTAGAGTTTCCTCTTTCCCCATCCTCTTCTGAGGCGCCGTTGGTCCACCCTCGCATGCGTTGCCCAGACTGCGCTCTCTCCCAGTGCCCAGATAAACCCTCTGTTAAGGGAGTTGGTCTCTGCTGCTCAGGTCAAGTTGATGGCCGGTGTGGCTCTGAGATCTTGCTAGGGCTCGGGACCTCAGGTGTAGAAAGCATGGTCGGAATGCAGTCTGCCTCTCCTGTTTGTCCTGAGCATAAAGGAAGCCCTCGGTGCTGTACTCCCCGGACAGGAAGCGCACTGTAGACGCTGTCATTCCTTGACCCTACCTGGTGCAGTTATTTTAAGCCTTTGCATTACTTCCCTTGCAAAGGACCTCAGCATCCTAGATCTCAGCATCCAAGTTCACGGCCACTCACTACCCTGAACCACGGAGACCTTCAATCCTCAAGGCTTGGTGTTGGACCACGCATGTTCAGTGGGTCTCATAACGTTGAGCCTGGCGTGACTCTGGTTGTCCGGTTAGAAGAGTGGTACGGAAACAGCAGAGGTCTTGGGAGCCTCGCCGTAGCTCGGTACCACAGCTAGGACAGAGGCTCTGTTTCCACCCAACGATGCTTAACCCTCACCGACTGGCTTTTGGCTCTGTTGTAAGTTTCGCTTTTGATTCTTATTCTCCTTGTCTCATTTAGGGTCCTCTCCTCTCTTCCCACATTCTCTTCTTTCATCCTTTTTTGGACCGTGGTTTTCTCTTTCATCCCTTACTTTCTCCTGTAATCAGCTCCTGCTTCCATTATTGTCAAACCCACTCTTTAAAAGGAAAGAAAATAAAACCTTGTTCCAGTCTCTTCCTACCAGCTATGCCACACTCAGACTTGGACCATAGTTCTATGCTCCCTTATTACAAGTGCTTACAAATTAGATGCACGTTGCCTCTTTGAAGCTCTGTGAATAACTGACCCTCTGCAGCAGCCTCCCCACTGCAGTCATCTCCAGGTCTGGATCCTAGACAATGCCAGCCACATTCTGCCCCTCTGACACCAATGTGTCCTGGGCTTCCTTCGGGACCAAGGCTACTTTTCCCATTGCACCCTTCATAGTGTTTGTGTTATTTTTGGAGTCGGGTCTTCTTTGACCTCCCAGAACAGAATTTACGTCTGTCTGCATCTGAACTTCAAAGCCTTGGCCCGCAGTCTCCTCTTGCTATTTTCCATGGACCCCTCATCTCCCGGCTCGGTTGTTGCTCCAGGCACGGCAGGCAGTTTGTCCGCAGGGGCTAAGACATGTTCACATCAGGAGAGCTTTAAAGAGGACAGCCCCAAGTGTGGCCCGTGCAGGCTCTGCCAAGCAGCTGAGTAAACTGCTCTTAGCTGTGCCTACTGTTTATTTTCGGGAAAGATGACAATAGAGTTCCCTTCAAACACAAAGTAGCTGTGCGAGCAGGACAAATGCCCTGTCCCCATGGAAGAAATCTAAAAATTTTCACTTGGATGTTCCACTGGCCTCGTAAAAATAATTCACACATTAGAAATGAATTTCGTTCATTCGTCATAGGCTGCCTTTGGTACTCTCAAAAGGGGGTGTGTCGCTGTGGGAACCTTTAGGACGCAAAACTAAGTCCCTTCACCTGTTCTTTCCCTAAGTTCGCTCCTTTGTGAGCTTGTGATCCTGGCTGCACATCTGAGCCTCAGTTTCTTCAACTGCAAAATGGAGGTAATGTCACGTCACCGCGTTTCCCTCAAAATCAGACCTAGCTGGGAAATAATCAGCCTTGAAAACTAGAAGTAGAAAATGCCAGCCCTAGTCAGCCCATCCTTACCTTACAGAGGAGCCACCAAGCAAGAGTGCAGTGAAGGCAGGGAGGGATTTTTAAGCAGTTTGGACTGCATCCTGTCCCATGAGGCTGGGTGCAGCATTGTCCACATTTGGCATTGTAATGGGACTCACAGCGTTTTAGATTTTGGAGCATCTTGGGTTCTAAATTTTCAAGTGAGGGATGCTCAGCCTGTATTTAATGCTAATGATATTTTTATCCCTGTAAGATATTGCAGCAAGATACTTCAAGCATGCAAGGATTGTCAGTTCTTGTGGCCAAACTATAGCCGTGTTTGTGGTGAGAATCCCCAGCCACTTCATTCTAGTGTAGCGGCCTGGCCTGGGGGTGTGAATTCAGGTTCAGACTGGTTCTGAAACACTGGAAGGTAACCTCTGATGACAAGTGAGGGAACAGAAAGAAACCCACGTGCCATCTTTCCACAAGCCTTGGGGTTATGTTGGTCAGAAAGTGAAAATATAAAAATATTCTGTGTGAGGGCACATGTCTATGGTCCTAGCTCCTTTGGAGGCTGAGGCAGGAAGATTATTTGAGGCCAGGAGTTTAGAGCCGGCCTGGGCAACATAGCAAGACCATTATCTCCAGAGAGAAGGAGAGAGGAGGAGGCAGGGAGAGAGAGATGATGGACTCTCTTTGATGCTCAGTGGAAAGAAAGTGCTCAGAGGCCCCTAACAGTGGCTCACAGTTGTGCTAGAATGAGCTGTAAGGATAACTGAACTGCCAGGTGTGGTAGTGCACACCTGTAATCCCAGCACCAGGAGGCTGAGGCAGGAGGATTGCTGCAAGTTGGAGGCCAGCCTGGGCTACATAGTGAGACCCTATAAACAAACACAAAAGACTGAACATACTCCCCTCATTATACAATCTGCATGAAAAAGTCTTGTCACTCACCCTGGATCATTTGACGAGCTCCATTAGAGGAACAGGATGTCACATGGCTTCTTGTCTCTCCTTACTTCACTGGCACTAATGTGATGATTTTCAGGTCCGAATTTCAATTTTTTTTTTTTTTTTTTTTGGTACCAGGGATCGAACTCAGGACCTTGCGCTTGAGAAGCAAGTGGTGGAACCACTGAGCTAAATCCCCGGCCTCCCTCAAAAATGATTTTTAAGCAAGAAACAATTTTGTAAATGCTCCTTGGATCCTGATTTTAATCTTAATCCTGCTCCTACTTTCCTCTTTAGGATTCGCCAGCCACGGAGTAAGCGATTAACAACTGCATTAAAAAGAGATAAAGTAATGCAGTAGAGAAATGAGTAAATATTAAACAGGCGAAACGATACCGATTTGTCATTTGCCCTGATGTCAGAAAGGATTTGGTAGGAGCAGCGGCGGCGAGGCTTGGGGGAGGTTGCAGGAGCCCCTGTGCCGGAGACGCTGATGTCCCCACAGGGCCCGTCACAGGCGGTGTCTTGCCCCTGCGGGTGGCACAGGGTGGCATGTGCCGACTTGGCACCTTTCATTCCGACGCCAGGCAGACAGATGGGGCCCCACGGTGCCACGTTTTCTCTTTCAGAGACTCCGACCTGTTCTTGTTGGACACCCGCGCCGTGTGGGCCTCGGAAGAAGGCTGGCTGGAATTTGACATCACGGCCACTAGCAACCTGTGGTTGGTGACCCCGCAGCACAACATGGGGCTCCAGCTGAGCGTGGTGACGCGGGACGGTGAGTGGGGCGCGAATGCCACAGGAAGCTGTCCGGGGTGCTTCGGTTCACCACCCCGCCTGCAGTTGTGCAGGCCTGGGCTCCAGGGTGACCTCATTTACTGTCCCTTGTGGCTGCCATTGGAAAGCAAAACCATTCTGGCAGGGACTCGGAGACCAGCTCGGCCCGAGTACCAGAGGGGGCAGAGGCAGGGGGTGTGGAGGGGAAGGAGGTCCAGAGCCGCCGAGGGGACCCCTGTGGAGCCCTCTCCTCCTGCAGCCGCAAAGCTCAGGGTCCCCACTTGCAGTCCACTCTCGGATTGGGGGGAATTAAGAGCAGAATTAAAGAGGGAGCGTGGGGGAATCAGACCCGCACCGTGTCCTGACCCAGTCCTCTGAAGGCCCTCTTGGTTCTGGCCCTCCCGCACGGGGCCTCCCAGGAAGGGTCGTCACACGGTGTAGCTGCGCGACTAAGATTCCGTGTTCTGGTTTGCACTCAAGGGCTCCACATCAACCCCCATGCCGCGGGCCTGGTGGGCAGAGACGGCCCCTACGACAAGCAGCCCTTCATGGTGGCCTTCTTCAAGGTGAGCGAGGTCCACGTGCGCACTGCCAGGTCAGCCCCGGGCCGGCGCCGCCAGCAGAGTCGCAATCGTTCCACCCAGGCCCAGGACGTGTCCCGGGTCTCCAGCGCTTCCGGTAGGTGTGAGCGCAGCCCCGTGGCCTTGGTGAGAACCCAGCTCCGGCCCCTGGCTTCAGAGGTCGCCGCTTCTGCTCAGCAGTGCGGTGGCCCGAGGTGTCCCTGCTCGGTGGTGGAATGTTACAGTCACAGAGCATCTAAGTAGAACTCCTGCTAGCCAAAGACCCCGGCTGCAGGCAGCCTGACCGCTCTGTATCCAGATGAGCATCTGTTTGGTTAGATTTGCCCAGTTCCTTTTCTGTTCCCATCTAAATCATCCAAATGCTTCAACCTTTATTTCCCGTTGCATTATTTAACCCTGGGGGCTGCGGTGTGAGGTTGAGCATCCATTTCTGAAGTGTTGGGGGCCAGAAGTGTTTCAGATGTTTTATTTTTTCAGACTCTGGAATATTTGCACATAAATAACAAGGCATCTTGGGGCAGGAGCCAACCCTAAACGCAAGCTCACTCAGGTTTCACGGGCGCCTTGGACCCAGCCTGAAGGTCGTTTACACAGCACTTGTAGACACCTGTGTCTTGACGGTGACCAGAAATGCGAGGTCAGGGGTGAGATTTTTCTACTTGTGGCATTATGTTAACACTCAAAAGGTTTCAAATTTAGGGGCTTTTCAGGTTTTGGGTTTTCAGATTGGGCGGCTCAATGGGTGCACACAAGCCTTGTGTGTTTGTGTAGGGTGGACTTGTGTTTATCAGTGCTCTTGGCTGGGAGTGATAGAAAGTCAACACCAGCAGGCCTGGAAAATTGATTTTACTGAACTGGGAAGTTCAAACGTTCTGGCTTTTGGCCTGGTTGGACCCATGGGCTCAGATGATACTAGGACTCTCTCTCTCTTCTTTTCTATTTTCCCTTGTTGGTGGCCTTCTCAGAAAGAGTCTGTGTGGTGGCGGGGGGGTGTCCCACAGTTCCAGGGTCTTGCCACCCTTGGCAATTTCGGCCGCAGATGGAGAGCCCCCTCTCATTGCGGTTCTGGCAGAAAGCAGGGGCCGGGCCTGCATCCTGCACTCTACCCGTGGCTCCCTGCTGCCCAGGAAGGGCTCCGGCTGGCCTGGCCACATTGTGTGTGTGCCTTTAGGGCAGAGATGGGTCAGCCTCCTTACACTTGGAACCAGCTCATCCACAGGGCGAGAGAGTACGAGGCCCCTCCTGCCTGTGTCTGGGACCCTGTCTTTCCTGCCCGCCCTTCAGGAGAGGGCGGGGCACCACTGTGGCGGCAGCACAGAGGGGAGCAGATCTTCCCTCCTGACCCCCATCCATGGAGCCACTGGGTAGAACTGAATTCAGAGCCCTGCAGTTCTGTCTCCCCAGCCAGTGCTTGCTGGTCCTGGGTTTCCTTTGACCATTTCAGTGGCCTGGGGATCAAGAAGCAAGCGGAAGTTTTGGGACGATTTGCAATCAGAGAACTCGTGCACCTTATTGCTACCCTTTGACTTTCGAGGAACCTAATCTTTTTGGATTCAGTTTTCTCCTTGGTAAAGTAGGAATGACAAGTGCCTTGAAGCCTGGTTGGAATTAAATGAAACTCACTCGATCTGCCTCAAAATAACACTCAAAGACTTGTTACGTCCAATTGTAAGAAGTAGGTGCTGAGCATGTGTGTGAGCCGGAAGTAAAATACTGCTGGAAGATGCATTTATTTTTCCAGGTGGCCTTTTATAAATGTCACTTTCTTGGCCCAGAAGGAGTTAATGGAACTCTCCAAAGTGCCTGGCTTTTCTTTGGGAGGAAGGATGTCCTAAATCTTAGGTTCTGATGTTAGGAGCTGTCTTTTTCTCCGGTAACTTGAATATGGAACTCGAGATCCACCACCCAGTGTGATGCGACCTTGTGTTTCTGGTCTTCCTGGTGTTTCTCAGAAACCTTGCACAGCATGGGTGTTCCCGTGTTTACCACTACAAACAGTCAGGGCTGGGGCTTTAAAAAGAGGAAGGCAGAGAAGTGCCTGGTTTCTTTTATTCACTTGGAGGCAGCTTGCGGAACGGAGCTAATAATCTGCGGTTCCCCTGGGGCACAGCGACGGCGTCTCCCAGTGGTGGGCTTGAAGTCATTCATGACCTGTGGTCAGTTGGCTCTGGGACCTCAGACAGGGAGGCATCTCTTGAAATGCTGATTGCTTTTTAAAATTAAAATCTCACTTGATTAATTCAACACCCACCCCACCAGCCCAATATGTATGCACACCAACTTTTTATAATTGAGAAAACATGGTGTCGCTGATTTGGGTTTTAGCAATGTCACCGATTATTATTTTCCAAGTCTTTTTCAACTGTTTTTTTTTTCAATTTGATGAGTCAAAATTAAATATGGACATTAAAGTTGATCTAATTTATAATAAGATGCAAATGTCTCTGTTTCATTCTGCTCTCCCCACGCCCTACCTCCAAGCCAGGGCTTCCTGATTTCCTTTGCTCCTTTCAGCAATCCTCGGCCAAAAGAGTTTATACCAAACCCCTGTGTCCCCACATATTTGCAAGTCCCCAGGAAGTATAGTAATCAAGGCTGCTCCCTTCTCTCTGTCTTCTAAGACCCGGCCAGTGCAGAGAAGTTGCTCACATTTGCCCCAAGGTACTAATTCATGTGCTTGGCTCTTTGTTCTTCTGTAAAGGGGAGCAGATATGCAGAAGGAGAAATTTCTCTCCAAGAAGGGGTTTCCAGAAAGTTGGCTACCTAGAGAAATGGGTGTATGGTCTTAACCTCTCTTACCAGGGCCAGGGCGCCACAGGTTGCTGGGCCTCTGAGAAGCAGGCCGATGCAGTGATACGGAAAAACGCCATCCCTGGTGTGACTCCAGCTGGCTTCCCCCTTGTAAACCTCTCAGAAGGTGAAGGGAAAGATTACTTTGCCTCTGCTGTCCCCACTCTTCCACAGTGTGCTCCCAGGGAATTGATAGCTCTTCACCAAAGCAGCCACTTTCAGAAGAAGCCCACCAGGGATCATCTTGCCTCTGGGTAAAGAACTTCACGTCATTTATCAAGTTGCCTGTCATCAGGGCAAAGCATGGCAAGGAACTCAGTGGCTGCTTTGGGACCTGAGCTGTGGACGCCCGAGACCCAACTAGTCCACTACAAGGGAGGAGCCAGGAGCCCATCTGCCACCTCCTGCCACCCAAGGTCTACACCAACGTTTGTAGTTGACTTTCAAGCTGGACTTTGCAAACTTGTGCCCTAGCCAGTGGGTTTGAGCAGTGTGGCTGGGCCACTCTTCTCCTGTGTGTGTGTGCTCTGCCTCTACACAGCATCATGGGTTTTGCATGTCTAACAGGTGCAGACCTGGCCACGCCGTGTACCCCTCTACCCAGGGCTTCCAATGACTGGCGATTCTTTTTCAGCCTTGGGGTCTAACCATCCCCTGCATTTGTGACACCTGCCCTTGGGTTCTTTAACTCTACTTTAGGCATCTCTTTTACATGCTGCCCTTCTCCCTCTTTTATGGTCTCTCTCTCGGAGTAAGTCCCTGACTTATGAATGAGTTCCATTCCGGAAGTCAGATTGGTTTATAAGTCTGACAGAGTGATTCTTATATGCCTTTGAGACAAATATACAATGCAGTATAAAAAACCAAACACACACAAAAATACTGTAAATAAACTTTTTACTTTTACAGTTACCTTAAAACGGTGGTATAGTACAGTTCAACAGCTGGCATGGGATTGCGCAGAGTGAATGGACAAGGAGAGAGTTTCTCACTGGAGGAGGGAAGGTAGGTGGGGCTGAAGGATCATAAGCAATAGGAGATGGAGGGAAAGGTGAAATTTCGCTCCCACCTGACCCTAGGTGACCTTACGCTGGATGACATTCTGAATGGCTGTTGCAACCTTTGTGTATCATTCCACATTGGGATCCTGTGCCTCAAAATCTAACAGTGCCTCTTCCAAAAAAGAAAATCTTTTGCCATTTCCTGTGATGTGAATCTCTTTGGTTCTTTGGTTCTGCCTTTCTCTGAGCTCTCCCTGTCTTTTCGCTGGGCTCCACGTCCATCAGCTCTTCATTACTAACAGCCAGGAGTTCAGTGACATTGTACTCTTGCAGATCCAGCTCCCGCTTCTTGCTAAGGGTCACTAAGTGGTTGACGACCTCTTTGGACTCCTTACCATCTTCTCAGGTCCATGAACTTCATGAACAAACTGTGGCAAAGGTTCTTCCAAGTCCCATTCATGGTAATAGCCAAGACCTCATGTTAAGCAAAGTTGATGTTTTCTATGGCTGTGTGGATGTTGCAGTCCTTCCAAAATTGTTGTAAGGTTGATCCTGTTTTATCAGTTGCCTTCACTGCCTGACGAAAAGTATCATAAATAACATTTGATGAAAATTGCAGTACTTCCTTGGTGCAGAGATTGGATGGGCGAGCGTGGTAGTATTTGGAGGCAGACGCACGACTTTGATGTTGGGATGAAAGTCATCCATGAATTGGGGGTGACTTGATGCACTGTCAAGCAGCAGAAGAATGTTGCGTGGGATAGCTTTCTCCAAACAGTATTTCTCTATCCCTGGGATAAAGTGGTGGAAACACCAGTCCTGGAAAATGACCTGTGTAAGCCAGGTTTGGAGTTACTCTTCCCACAATAGGTAGAGGGTCTTTGGCTGTGTTTCTGGGCTCTCTGGATGGTAAACTAAGACAGGCTTCAGTTTGTATCACTGGAAGTATTGCCACCAAACAACAGAGTAAGTCTGTCCTTTGTTGCTCTGAAGCCTGGCATCGACTTTTCCTCTTTACTGATGTAGCTTCATTCTGGCGTCCTCTTCCGGTACAGTCCTGTTCCATCACTGTTCATAACCTGTTGGGGTAAATAAATGCCTTCATCAGTAATTTGCCTAAGTGTTGCTGGAAATTCTTGGGCAGCTATGGTCTCTGCACTCATAGCCTCACCACTTACCTTTACGTTGTGGCAGTTTGCTCTAGCCTTGAATCCGTTAAACCATCCATGGCTGACAGGAAAAGACGCACCCTGTTCACCCCATTTTTTTCTTCAAGTTTCAAACAGGCTTTTAGCTTTTTCTTGAA